AGCAAGCTCGTAAAGAGATGGGTAGTTCTCATCTGTGGGGAGTGCCTACATTTTGCAAGATTTAGTCCGTCTATTTGCAGGGAAAAGGCTGAGGCAGATGTCCCTGCAAACACCCCATTGTTGGGTATCTGAGGACTTCACCACTGCACCCTCCCTGTCATGCAGCCTTGCCCCTACACTCATCCGTGTCCTCATTCCTGCTGGGAGGATCTTCCCAGGCTTTGAGATTCATGAGCACAGTGACTGCATTTTTTCTTTCTGTATCTCCAGTATCTGATCCAATGCCCTGGCACCTCATTGACACTTAAATTGAAATGAACGATCAGGTATGGTAAAACTTATTCTATACCAATCTCCTTCATTCCTTACAATCATTTCAAATGACTAACCTAATCATCATTACACAAAGGTCAATAATACAGTATTGTGATTAAGCTAGTGGGCTTAGGAGGTACTCTGCCTACATTAGATCCCCAGCTCCATGATTTACTTACTTTGTGAACTTGGACAGGTGACTGAACTGCCTCCAATTTTCATTTACAAAATGGGAATGATCCTAATACCTACAGGATAGGATTGTGATTAATTGCAGATTTTTCAAGACAGTGTTTTGCCCATACTACATGCTCAATGAATATTAATACCAATTATTAGTATGGAAGGTCTCTAATGTAGCACGAGGGAGCACTCATTTATTATAATATAGATCAATATAGTCTAAATGTGCTGGAAATGAAAAAAAAAGAACACAAGCAAGCATCTCAAGAGTATTTCTGGGCATATGAATTTTGATCTGTGAGAAAATGTTGAAGGAGTTCTTTTCTGGATAAGAAATCACAGAGAGATCACACAAATTAAATCTTAATGCCATCAGCATCTGTTTGATTAAATTATCTTCCTGCATTCTTCTTTCATTGTATCTCAAGTCTAAGTCCAGACTCCCCAACAAGAGTGTAGGCTCCTCGGGTACCTAGGCTGGGTTGTAAACTTTTGGGTGACATACAAGTGGTGGGGTTAATCAATAAAAAGTGAATTGACTTAAATGACTCTTATAACTACATTAGATTGTTTCCATACATCAGTCTCACATTAATTTGAAAAAAATAAAAGGCAGAGTGAAAGATTAACCTTATCATCAAGAAAGCCCCCGTGTTTTCTTTCATTCTCGAATGAATTCACTGGCCATCTTCCCCCACCAGAAATCACCAAGATCCCAGTATATAAAGACTTCTCTGCCCCTTTGGTTTCAGTTCCCCGTTTCTTGACCTAGAAGGTAAAGAACACAACAGCTACTGTTATATTTTTTAAACCGTCAAAAGCAGGAGGGGACTCTAGCTCTTTGAGAACAGAATGGATGGTCTACTCTACAAACACAGAAATTGGAGTTTAGGTGCCCCCAGGATGCTCTCCTGGGCTCTGTGATATCTGAACCCCGTGAGTAGCCTCCTTGAATGAATATGCTTGCCTCAATAAATAGCTGTGGAAGAAACAATTTTCCTAGTTTAAGGATGCCACTGCCTTCTGAAATGTTATTGTTCCTATAAAAGTAGACGCTAAGACAATATTTTTTAGACAAATGTTTGATTTGGTGGTTCTGGGTAAGATGTGTTGTCATTAAAATCTTAGTGAGCCAGAGGTTCTGTCTTTATTGAGAGTGCCAAGAGAAAAGGCAGCAGAGGAGGTGGGTTTGGATATAATAAATACAATTTTAACTGCAAGGTTTGAAGCAGATTTCTAAGGCGGCCAGGATAGCCTCTCCGCTGGAGAGTGTTAGTGGGCTCAGCCTCGGGCTAAGGGAAGATTAGATGGTTCCAAAAGGGTTTTCCTTGGATGCAGTGGAGATTATTGGTTGTTTGAGATAATAATTTGTCCCCCATCCTCATTTTTTCCTTCAGTTTGTCTACTATGGAATAACACTATCTTTTTTTTTATAGTTGGAATTTAGGAGGCACTGCATCTTGTGAGTTAAATAAACTCTTCTGTGGTCACTGTCCCTGCAACCTGGCCGAAAGGCAGCCTGAAGTCCTCTCTGATGTAGAACTCTCCTTTGCCAATTTGTAATTTATTTGGCCATTTTCTGCTCATCATGGATTCTCTCTGACTTGTGAATCCCTGTTCTCCTTAGCACTCATTCACTGAATGGATCCATTTTTCTCCTCAGAAATCAGATGACTATTTTTCTTTTATGAAAACTAGTCATCCAGATTGAAAGGGCCATTGGTTGTTAAGACCTGAAGGAGCTACCAAGGGAAGGAACGACCTTTGCTCCAGAGAAGCTCCTCAAGTCCCAGAGCCATACCCGGGGTGACTTACATGGAGCCCTGTCATAAGGCAGGGCTGGGGTGCAACAAGCCTTGCTAAGCAGCACCGTCCAAACTTCAGGTCCTCAGACATCACTCTGGAGATGAGGAGCCCCAGAGCCAGAAAAAGTCCGCGAGTACTAAGGCAGGACTTCATTTGTAATTCTACAAAACTTTGCCCTAGTAAGTCCAAGAAAATGGGCTGAGATTATCTCCGAACTGAATCAAATAAATTTACTCCATTGGATAATGGTGCTGAAACATCAGACTTTCCTTTTTTACTTTGTCCCTGCCTCCTCCCTCATGCTCCCCAACATGGGCTTGTGGCTTTTCAGTTAGTACACATTTCTTTAAATCTGAACCCTGATCTTTATAAGTTCTGCCTAAATATCACATGTGTGTTTGTTCTTCACTTTGCTAGCTCTAACGTTTACCTAGTGCGCTTTGTAAAGAAGCACGATAATTTTATCCATTCACTTTTGTTTCTCAATTTTCAGAAAGTATGAACTTCCTCCCTCCCCACTCCCTCTAAGTTTGGATTATGTTAACAGGTCATTCCAGAGTAAAGCACTCAGGCAGATGTTTTCTTCAGGGGCAGACTGTGGAGGAGGAAATCTCTTTTGATTCTTTTCTTAAGTTTCTCTCTCTTACCCTCATCTGCCGCCTTCATTCTCCCTTCTATTTCTTCTTATCACTTTTTCTTCATAGCAGGTGGGAAATGAGGACTCAGTAGTCGCCCTTAAATGTAACCCATATAAAGTCTAAACAAGATAACCCAGACCCTACAGAGGAGACACCAGCGAGCTGGCTGACACGTGAAGACATTGAATTCACGACATAAACACTGGATGAGCCCCCGAGTCCGCAGAAACTGGCCCTCTTGAGCTATGGGTGGTAAGTCTTGCTTCCTGGAAGATGATCACTGTAAAATGGATAAAAACACTCCTACTCACCCCTGAGTATCAGGGAGACTCAAATTATTTTTTGACCCTAATCCTATTACTTTAATCTTTTTTTAAAAAGCTACTCGTTATTATTAAGTCAGAAAACATTCCACTGCCATTCACGTTTTACCCCACTCTTTCTGAGAGGCCATGCAGCAATAATTAAGAACATATAGGTGTCAAATGGGGCAGGGAAAGAGTCAGGAATCCATTCGGCAGAACGGACGAAACCTGCATTTGATTTACATAAGGACCCTCTTTTTAGTCTTCATTTTGATTAAATATACCAGTTTCAGAAAGCACTCCCCACGAAACTGCTTTTATAGCTCTAAAAGAAAAGTACAAGAATTAAATGTACTCTATTGAGTACTTCTTTTTCCTCCTCTTCTTTCCCTCCCCCTCCTCTTCCTCTTTCTCCTTCTCCTTATTGTTGTTATTACTATTATATAACGTTCAGTTCTTAGGAAACAGGATTTGATTATCAGGGCATTTTTCCAAAGACCCTGAGTGAACAGTAAAGATTGCAGAACATCTTGTCTTTGTCTTTCACGTAAGCCACTCCATCGTCGCTGTTTGTTAAGACTATGCAGAAATCCTTCTCACTTTCTCGAAAAGTAACTCAATTATAGTATAAAGTTTGTAAGTATTAGAACATACTAGTACCTATTTCTTCTATTTTTGCTTCTATGTGTGAAAACTGTCTCTATAAACATTTAAGAGATTAACTTTGCCTCTCCCATTGGGCTTGAGTCCCCTGGAATTAAAGATGAGCTAATTTATTCTGATGGAATTGGACATAAAATTGGTAAGCCTTTTCCTTTTATCACTCACAGTTGTCTTTTTTTCTCTCTTAAATTTACGAGGTCTTTATATCTGCTCTGTTTTCTTTCCTTTTCCCTTATAGTTGCAACAGTGTTCGCTTTTTAGCAGTCCCTAAAGAACTCCTGTTGTCATCATTTAACATTTGATTGGCAATAATATTTTACAAAATGGTTTACAGCTGCCTTTTACTAGTTATTCTCATGCCTTCAATAACTCTTGGGTTTTTATTCGTAGTCCAGCACAGAGTTGTGCTATTCTTTGTAAGCACATAGACATTCCTCTTGACTCGGCCTTGTCCAGTAGGTTTAGAAATCTTTCACTGGAAATCATGCTCATTTTTAAGCTGCACAGGTTTTGAATACATTAATTGTAGGAGCCTTAAGATTTTCTTGCGGTTTTTTGTCCTTACATAGGAAATGCCATTTTAGATCAAAAGGAAACTATTTTGTCTCTTCAGACTCTCTGAAACGTACAAGAATATGGAGTAATTTGATGCACGCAATATTGAACCTGGAAAATCCTCAAATAGGAGATGAGATAAAAAGTACAGTAGCCCTAAGAAATACGACTTACTGGAATGCATATTTAAAACTTCAGGCCTATTCCTGTATGGGATTTTAAAATAGTATATTTTTAAAAAGATTCTTTGTGTCTCTACAGTTAAAACAGAAATTCTGATATGCATCACCACTCAGCTGAGGAATTTATATGAATGTTGATTTATCGATGTATGTTATTTTAAGAGTACATACATGCTTCTTCCCTTCCTGTTCCCAGATAGTCCCCAGAAGAGGGAAGCTTTGAAGCTCTTTTCCTAAATATCAAAACTCTCTCATGTTGTGTAAGATTGAGTCATTGACTGCAGCTTCAGAGAATCTTAACGTGGTCTTTACGAGAAGTCACAACTAACACCCATATACCTTTCTACCATTAGCACGTGAGGAGCTCCTCTGGAGAAACTTGGAGGGGGATCGGTGCTTCGCCTTTTGGAGTATCTTTATACTCTGACATCTAAGGAGACGACATGCTTCCTCTCATAGCTTCTTTAAAGCTCATACATAAGAAAAAACTGGAGCTAAAGTCAACAGATTTTTCTCCTTGGTAATATTTTTGACTTTTGGGTTATCTTGGACTTATTTCTCACTGCTTCCCTGTACTTTGCTTAGCAGTCAGTTAAATTCATTTCTCACGGGCAGTTGGTTATTCCCAAACTCTTTCATATCATATCAAGTCACACATAAAATGATTGTATTTGTACAGCATACCAGACTAAAACTGGAGAGGATTTTGGAGGGTTCTACATGGGGCTTGGTGAAAAAAACAACGATTATATTTTCTTTACTTTATATAGATATGTTAAGAAACACAAAACGCAAATGTCAGGGAGGATATTACATATTGAATTTGTACAAAACTTCTGAGGAAAGTCGTTTTAAATTTATAAGTGAGAAAATTTTCTTTAGTGTGCATAACATTTTATTATACAGTTTTATGACTTAATTGACTACACATATGTCCCAATCAAGATTTCTTTATTGATGAACTTGTCACAGTCTGGATAAAAATCATCTGTGAGAAAACTTGGTCACATGAGTAGGAGGTAGTAAATAGTAAAAATGTATCACTTTTTCTCCATTTGACAGATTCCTTCATATCCATCGAACAGAACTCAAATAATTCAAACTCTTTGAATTAAACATAAATAGTACATTCGTGTTTAATATCTAACAACTCTTCCCTTTCATTCACTGAAAAATATATTTAAGTTTCTGGTTATACAACAAAAATTTCCAAAGGATATATTTTTTTAAATCAAGTATTTCAAAATACTGAAGATTTTCCTCAACAATATACAGATGCTACTCGGTCTTAAGTTTTTTTTAAATATCCAAATTATTGCACTGATCACATATCACTAGCAAATTATCTTAACCTTAATTTTCTAAAGTTGAAAATTTTGCTTTGTCATTATATATTAATGTATTTTCCCATAATCTTTGCAAATTTCATTAAGTAAGCCATTTTGAAGCCAAAACCATACTTCAATAAACCTGCAAAGTGAAAAACATCCATTTTTTTTTCAATTTTTCTTTTAGTTTATAAACTCTTGACAAAACTCTTCTTTGGACAGCCAATGTAATTAAATATGGAACAGGAGAAAGGGGCCTTCTTATGGCATTTTTTGCAAAAATCTGAAAATAGATGGGATTGTGGAAGCTTGGATTTTTTTTTTAGATTGCCATTTTGATAATATGTGTAATTCAGATCTACAGATTGACATTTATATCTGAAAGCATCTTTTTGAATAAAACAGTATATCACTAAATCTCTACATAGTCAGAAGGAATTCTTTTTTTTTTTTTTTAAAGATTTTATTTATTTATTTGACAGAGAGATAGCGAGAGCAGGAACACAAGCAGGGGGAGTGGGAGAGCGAGAAGCAGGCTTCCTGCCGAGCAGGGAGCCCGATGTGGGACTCGATCCCAGGACCCAGGGATCATGACCTGAGCCGAAGGCAGACGCTTAACGACTGAGCCACCTAGGCGCCCAGTCAGAAGGAATTCTTGATGTAAAGTCTTCCTGCAGTGCTATCCCAATATATTACTTACTTCTAATGACTATTGCAATTCCAGAGTAAATATGGTCCTTCCAAGTATTTTTCTTCAGGGTTCCAACAGGCATCATTACTATTGGTATTATTCAGCAATGAGAACTTTCTTGATTTACATTCCTGTGGGTCAGTGTTGCCTCTAAGTCACTTGACACGTTGTCAGTGAGTCTACGAATATTATTATTCAAATATAGACCCCTCTGGGTTCCTTTATCCTATTGGCTCCACTCACACAGCACAGATATGTTTCATGCATTGCGGTAAAATGAACAATAATTCTGTGATTGCGTGAGAAAATTGGACTTTAGTTGTTAATTGTGCCACCTTGTAAGTGGGTTTTTGAGTTCAACTTGTTGCTACTCTTATAATTACTCTCTTTTAAAAAATCATGTGTCTAATTTTGCATCTTAAGAAGTTCAATTTGTTTTCTGTGTCAGGACAAATCTTTTATTGGTAAGATGTTAGTGTTTTGTTATATTGGCTCTATCGTTCCATTTGGTTATTTTTCTATGTAAATGAAATATTTAGTCTGAGAAAGAGAAAATTTATCAAAGTGTATGAATCTATATCTAAAATAATAATTTTCTTGTTGATTTAGTAACTTAAACTTTCACTTGGACGACTTGGTTTGTTTTATGTATTTGATGGTATGTTTGATTAGTTGTGTATTTTATATGAAAATGAATATAGCTGTAAAAAGTAAATCTATTTAAATATATAGTTCTTGACTGTAGGCCTTTGATTTCCCAAAATACATTTTTAGATTATCTAGATTTTTAGGAAATTTGTAAAATATCACATGAAAATTAAGAAGATTTCAAGTAGTAAAACAATAATTGCATTTAATTCAATAATTAAAATTCTAAAAATTAAAAAGTACAAATGTCACCTACTCTAATATAGGACAAAATACTTTTGAAAATTTGATTTTCTGAAGCTGTAAATTCTAGAGTCCCCTTAATAAGTTGATTTGATAGAATGACTTTTAAATTCTAGAGTCCCCTTAATAAGTTGATTTGATAGAATGACTTTTAAATTTTAAAAAAAATTTAAAAATTTTTTATTTCTAAAAACAGAAAATAATTCGTTGTGAAATCTATTTAAAAAATAAGTTCTCAGCCAATTGTTAACAGCAAAAACTAATGAAAAATTTAAAGAAAAAGACCTGAGAAAATTAACAAAATCACTTTATCCCTTCCTTGGCCTTCTGCTCAGTTACCCCTGAGCTATAGAGAATTTGTTGGTCCTATTTTTCATTAATAGAAAATTCCAAGAGCCATTATGGCATTAAATAGTTGAGAATTATTTCTTATGTATTTGAGGTTACTGATTTTCTCCTTATTTTTCTCTTGTGACCTCTCCTCTTTCTCTACTCTTCCCACCACTATCACCCAAAGTCAAGTATTCAAAGGCTCCCATGTTGTTTCTGAACCTCAAGAACACTTCTCGGGTCACTCCATCCTCTGTGTGTCTGTCAGTTTGGTGTTAAAGCTGATCACAGGGCAGGGGTGCCTGGGTGGCTCAGTTGGTTGGGTGTCTGCCTTCACCTCAGGTCATGATCCCAGAGTCCTGGGATCAAGCCCCACGTCGGCTCCCTGCTTGGCCTGCTCCCTCTGCCCTGCTCATGCTCAATCTCTCTTTCATAAATAAATAAATAAATAAATAAATAAATAAATAAATAAATAAATAAATAAATAAATATTTTTTTAAAAACAAAAAGCTGATCACAGGGCAACTCCAGAAGTTTCGGTGGCCTCTCTTTTGTCCACAGGGTTAGCTCCACACTTAGCCTGGACCCTCCATAGTGTAGGTCTAATTTACCTTTCTAGTCTGGGTTCTTGTTGTTCCTCCACATCTGCTCTTCACACAGGTAAGCTCAGTAGTTTTTGTTAGAATCGTTGTAGGAAAAGTGCCCCCAATAGCAAGTGATATGAGGAGAGAGTTCTAAAGGCAATAACATTGGGAGAACTTGGGCCAATTTCAATGTTTCTTACACATCCTTACCTAGCCAGCCTTCAGACATTTAGAATACTTTGTCCCCATAGCAATCTCTGAAGGGATATATTAACAGTTAAATTCAATAACTTCTTCCAAGGAGTCCTACCTGATCAAACAGCCAGGTATCGTACTTTTTCTTTGATTCTTAGAATGTTGTATTTTGGCATTTATTGAATTCTGCCTGTGCTATGCTTATTTTGGTTTCCTTGGTTTATCTTCAAATATATATATATATTTTGCTGTACCAAGGTAAAACCGTTAAAGAATTGCTTTTTGTATGTCACATAGCCCCTGAAATAATGCTTTTTTTCATAATAGGAGCCTTACTACATACTTACTGAATCAAATCAAATTTGTTTCTAAAACCTATTCAAATTTTTATATATTTTATTAAAAATAACCAAACACATTTTGGGCAGTTTATCTGCTAAGAAAATGGTATTTAAAGCAACTGGGACTTCTTAACAACCATAAGAAGGGAAATTTACTTCCTTTTTTGGAGAAAATATCTGGTATTCCATAAGTTTAATAACAATAATGATAAACATTTTGAGAAAAAGCAGAAACTCCTTTATTCTCAAGATAAAATGTGAATATATTTAATGACAATTAAAATTGTCTACTACAAAATTACTGCAAACTTCAGAAAGATCATAGTTTGCATACAAACTAGTTTTACATGTATCAGGTTTGAGAAAACATTTGTGAAGTTGTTGGTCATCAAAGGTAGATGCTGAATCACAGTTCAAATGCTCAAAAATTTTCCACAAAGAAGGTAGAAGAAATGCACTCTGGATTTTATCAGAAACTAATAACTGTTTTATTCCTGATATTTAATACTGACTTTGAGTACGTATCAGAACAATGGTTGCAAATACCATATTTGACTTGCACAACCATATCGGATAAGTTGCTTATTCTAAGAAAGCAGGAAAGTTGGAAATGAATTTACTACTGCCTAGTACTTAGTTCTATAGTATGAGCCCCCTCGAAAAATAAAATAAAATAAACACATCCTTACCTTTGGAGAAATTTTGTTTTCTTTCCTGTGCAGGAGGCAGTCAAAAGTACTAGCATGTAAGCTTTGTGAAGTGGCCTTCAGGAATATTTTTATGAAAAGATTTATTGACAAGTTTCAGGGTAAATCACAATGATATCATTGACTGAAAAAAAAAACCATATCTGAAGAAGAAAAATAAAAATAATTTTAAAAGATAGTTTTGTGAACAGATTTAGATTCATAGACTGCTAAAGGTCGAAAGATCATGTCTCTTTGATTTCTTTCAGAGAAGGAAATGAAGGCACAAAAAATTTCATTAAATCACCAGTTTAATGACAAGGCTCGTGGATGAGAAGACCGAAGAATGTAGGTGTCCTGACGCCTGGGATAGTGTTTTCCCCACATCTCTTACTTTAATTTTGCTAGTGGCATTCTAGTTGTATTTGTAATGCTTGGGAGCATGAGTATGCCACACTGTCTTTTACAAAACTAATAAAACCTCGGCCATGTGAACACCTCTCCATAGTTAGCTGCTCTTAAATCTTTAATGAGGAGGGGAAAGCAGATGTGGAGGAGGGGCAAAGATAAATGCCAGAGAACCATCTGAAAAAGAAGCTGTGTGAAGTTGGCAGAGAACTGTAGCTGCAAGTCAGGCTCCAGAGTAAAAGCCTTCTAATATCCAGTTCTTATATAAACAATTTGCTCCAAATTATCACCAGGAGGAGTTTCACTTGACTCATGAGGTTGGAAGAAGGGTCAGGTTGGTGACAAGTTTGGGATCAGGATTTGGAATCACTTGATGTGGAGTCTACTTTAGAAAAGAGAATTCTCTCAGCAAAAGTTCCCGTTTTATCACCACTGGGTTCTGTTTCCTTGAGTAAACACAACTCAGGTTATTCTCCCTCAGCTCCTTCATCAAAAACCTCTGAGACTATCCATGTTATTGTTTTTAATATATGGGAAACAAACAAAACCATTCTATTCATGGAAGAAATGTTCCTCTAACTTATAAATTCAACCTGAAGAAAACTCTTGCGGTTCCCAAGAATGCTTATAAAAGAGAAAAAAATCATTTTTCATGACTGAGAAAAGCTTTACTGTTGACTGGTTGATAAAGGACTTTGACCCAAAGGTCTGATTCAACCTAAAGAAAATCTGTCACACTGGAACAGTCTGGGAAAGCCTTTCCATTTCCAGAATAAGTATGGGTGAGAATATAAACTTCCACTCTTCCAGAAGAAATAATTTCTGCAAGTTAATCATATCCTTATGTTTCAAGTTAAATTGGGAGCCAAACTAGCAAGGCAATATGGCACAACCTTTTTTTCTCAGTGATCTATCTTGTTTCTCCTCAGAATTATTAAAAATTCAAATAGACTTCCCTCAGATATCTAACATATTTCTATGTGCCCCCCAAACTCATCCTATTTTCAATAGTCAAAGGCAATTATATTTGGTATAATATGGCATATTTGTTGAAAAATTACATCATCTGTTGCAAAGATAATAATAGAAAGCTTTTGATTATTTACTGCCTGTGATCATCTCCACTATTTCTTCTGTTAATTAAGGTAGTCAAGAATGAGTTATATTTAAAGCCGTGAAGCAAAGGTTGGTGAGATCTTGGAGTTTTTGTGTTGCCCTTAAATTTCTCATGAGGTAAGTCATACTGGAAGAACGTTAAGCAAATATCTTCTTGACTCCAGTTTTCCAAACCCAAGAACATTTTAGGAAAAGGTCTCTTAAATCTATCGATAAACATCTATAAAACCTTGTACAATCATACACATTTTAAATGTTTCTCTTTTTTTTTTTAAGATTTTATTTATTTGAGAGAGAGAGAGAGTGAGAGAGAGAGCACAAGCGGGGAGAGTGGCAGGCAGAGGGAGAAGCAGAACTTGATCCCAGGACCCTGGGATCATGACCTGAGCCAAAGGCAGACGCTTAATGGACTGAGCCACCCAGGTGCCCTAAATGTTTCATTTTTATATCTATTGATTGATTGCAATTTTAAAAATTTAACTGCTAGTTGTCACTTTGATGAAACCAGTGCAAATGGAGCATTTTAAAAAAGAAATTCCGCAAGATGACTTTAAAAGTATATTAACATTACCCTATATGATTATTAAATGCTCCCTCTTGCTGAAGCTGCAGTGAAAAGAAAATGACATGATCATAAATCCCTGTTGGAAATGCATATTTTTAGAAATTCCAGAAGAATTTCTAAGCAATGCACAGCAAGCCTAAGAAAACCATTTTCAATATGTACAAGTGGCTTGAGCCTCAAACTCTTCCTTGTAGCACTGTTTTGTGAATAGATTTCCTCAAATAATAAAAATAGTATCTTTTTAAAATTAAACATAGACTAAGATAAAGTAACCTGCATTCCCACCACCCAGAGAATTGCTATTATACTGGTTACATATTAATGTATCATTTTCCAGGGTTTTTTTTTCCTGTATACTCTTCCTAAAATATAAAATGTATTCCATATAATGTTTTGTAATCCACTCTGTACATTTGTGTATAGGACATATTTCAATATCACTAAATATTATTTCACAAGGTAGTTTTAAACTTTAATTACTTTGAACAGTCCTCTGTTATTGGATCTTTGTGTCATTTTTAAGTTTTTATTATCTCAAATAATGCTGTAATCATTTGTTATCTGTAAGCCTTTGAACACATCCCTAATTATTCCCTTAAGAAAACGTCCCAGAAATGGAATTTCTGGGTCAAAGACTGTTACATATTTTAAGGCTTCTAATACACATTGCCGAAGTGCCTTCCAAAATTGTTAGGTCAATATATCCTCTCATTGTATGTGAATGAATGTCCCCATTTCTCCCAGTCTTTAGCAATCTCAAGTGTTATAACTTTTAATTACTCTTTGGCAATTAAATTGGCGAAAATTGTATTCCTTTACGATTTTAATGTGCACTGCTTTAATTATCAATAAAGATAAAAAGGTTGTCACATTGTAACTGGCCCATCGTACCTCTTCTGTTGGTTGCCTCCTTGTGGTCTTTTGCTCATTCATTTTTCCATCAGTGTGTTTGCCTGAACGTCCTGATTCCTAATTGCTCTTAAGATCTTAACCTTTTGTCAGAGATGGGGCACATCTTTTTCCCAGTGCACGACTTGCCTTTAATTTTTTTTCCTAAACAAAATTAAAAAGTAAATTATAAAGTTAACGCCGGTCATCTGTTCAGAGGGAAAAGGCTTTTCAAGCTAAGGGAGAAAAGAAGAGCAAGCATCCGCAGCCGTGAGTGAGGCTCGTTCCCGCAGGGCTGACCTCGGCCTCTCCTGCCTTCTCTCCCCATCAAGATCCTGTCCTTCCAAACCCCAAATTGAGCCCACTTCCATGAAATACGTGTGTTCCTACACCCCTTGGCATGGATCGACTGACAGTCTTATACTGCTCTTGGGATAATTCCTGTAATTGTTCATGAATTCTCAACCAGACTGCAAGCAATTTAAGGACAGGAACCCTTTTTATGTTTCTTTTCTATTCTTCGTGGTTCTAGCACCATGCTCAGCAGGTAATAAGCCTTGAACAATTACTTGTTCATTGAGTACAGATGTGCTCCTTCTCGGCCTCCCATGGCCAGATCGCTCTGTTGTTCCTTTCTCACCTTATTGAGACTACATCTATATGTGAAAGTTACTGAGCCATTTTAAATAAAGTGATTTCTGTTCTGACAAATTACTTGTCAACCCTGTATTCAGAGAAAGTGACATCCTTAAGTGATGGGTAAATTCAGTCAAAAGAGTTGATTCGAGCCTTCGAGTTGACCTCGTGAGTTCTCAGTCAGTGAGAGCACTCTATAACCCGGAGACACTTGGCTTTTCTTGTGATGCCAGACACGGCTTGCCCAGGGAATTGTGAGGAGAAAGGGCAGGCGGTCTCTCCTAGAATACTCGAAGAAGCTATGCAAAGATATTTCCAAAAGTATTTCTAAAATATTTTTTAAAAGTACACATGATATTACAATTTTAACAGATGAAATCCATCTTCTGAATTTATTTACAATGCTATGTGACCTATCACCGTTTTATAATTTTAAAACAGCAATATGAATTCTTCACAAAACTCAGTCTTTTAAAAGTGAATATTGTAGGTGAACTAAAATCTTTTGAGAGATTCTGGTCCAGGTTTGCCAGTTGAAATCTACATACTACCTGGTAAAATTGGTATGTGTGTGTGTGGGGGGGGTGGTATTAAAACGTATACACATCAGTACACATGTCACAACATAAAACTCTCGGAGCAGTTGCCACTTAAGGAAAATAAACAGCTGCCACTTTTAAAATGTGATAGATCTGGCCTTAAAAGTAAATATTAATTTGGAAAGATGCTATTCACTGGACGAGGGCCTTTTTTCTGGTATGCCTTTGATGACCAATTAATGTATTTAAAGGGTAAGTATGAGGAGAAGACTAAACTTTGCTAATCCGGAATTTGAAGCTAACTTGGTGCACAAGTTAGAACATAAGCAGTAGTAGGCCTTTGAAGCTTAAAGTTTAATCCTTTTTAGATCATCAAGAACCTGAGTATGTTCGTGTCTGTTTCTCATAAATGCACATTATAAACACTATCTGTCATCATCCCATGAAGTGTGGTACAGTTGATAGTTTTAGTGAGCAAGAAATCACTTTGGGGTAAAAGTCATTCCTTCAGACTAGCTACAGGGTGTGCTAAATGGAAGTGCGGTGGAGACGTTCGCCCCATAGGGCTTGCGAATCACGCAAACACGGGACTGCACTCTTCGACGCCACCTATTACTAACTTATTATTTGGAGTTCCTTTAAAAAAAAAAAAAAGGTAGTTCCTACTACCACCCAGTAAAAAATGTACTCTGCAATCTTTTCTTGTTTTGCATATGATTGGTAGCATACCTTTTAACTGCTGTAAGTAATAAAAATATATATGTGCAAGTTGGCTATAAGAAATGCCAAAGTTTCACCTAATAAAATTTTGGTATGCCTCAGTTTTCAAAGTGAATTTGATTTATTTGAGCCACCAGCCGTCCGATGACAGCCCTGTGTTTTTTATATGAGTCATGTCCCAAGGGGTGTAGAATATGCCAATGGTGTACCTTGGATTGGATCCAGTGTCCGCAAACAGGTTTTCATTAGACTTTGATGCCAGTCGCATTTGGGAGCAGAGAGGCTGCTGAAAACCAGCTTTGCTTTGGGATCACTTCTTTCTTTTAGAAAAAACAACAAAGATCTTTTTTAGCAAAGCTTTGCGCCTCCACATTGTAGGTGTATGGTAATATTTTAGAGAGCGGTAATCTGTTATTGCAGGTGGTCAGGCTTCAAGCACTTCCGTATTTTGAGAATAGATCAGACGAAGTGCAACAACCTTTATTGAAAAATTGCCGAATTTGAAAATTAGAAACACATTTTCTGTGGCTAAGATTAAGTTAGCATGTATTACAGTCACTTGGACTTTTCTGTAGCACTAAGAGGAATATAATTACATAGATTATTCCACATGTCATGAGATTGGAACCTTAATCACAGTTAGAAACCTTTATCATGCTGACGCAGACCCTTACAGTTTGCTCTCTTTAGTAATTAAAGGACTTCTCTGGTTTTTTGTTAAGAATGTGGAGGGGACAAGTCAATGAGAAATAAAACAAATCCACCTTTTATTTTTATGCATAAAAGCAAGTTTTATTCCTGTTTTTTTTAAAAATTGTATTTATTCATGCTCTCAGAGAAAGTTGTGGAGTCCAAAATTATCCTTTAAAAAATCTACTTTTAGACACACATATGATCCATGAGAGTGCATTTATGTGTGTGTGTATGTGTGTGTATACATATATATATGTGTGTGTGTGTATATGTATGTAAAGCATTTATATGGAACTTAATTTAAAAATGAGATTTGGAGTCTAATTGCTTAAATCAAAGAGAAAAGTAGATCTTTATCATTTACCTGGTAGTAGGAAAGTCTAAGGCTTTTATCCAGTGAAAATTTGTTACCGCCCGAAATAACTGGATCAAAAGAAGAATGAAGGGACAAATAAAGGAAAAAAAAAAAAAAAAAACCAAGAGAATCCTGGGAGACCTCTGTCAACAGAAATATTGCCAAAGATAGAGAGCATAAACATGGCATTAGCTGTTGTCCAAGCATTTTTTTGCCCTTTTTTGTTGTTATCCAGGGATTTAATGACGTTATCTTGTAACTTGACAAATCTCTCCCGTGTCATTTTAAATATGGAAGAAGTATTTTATTGCTTGCTCTTCCTGTGATACAGACTAAGGTGTTGCATCTTTTTGAAAGAAAAATGCGTTTGGAACTTCCTTGTTTTGATCAAAGTCAAAACTATCATGAACTACTTCAATCAACCCAACAAGTACAGGATTGATCAGAATGTGTCTATTTTATCAAATATAATAGAAATTCAACAACACAGAGTAAACTATTATATAATTAATGGCCAGTGATATGGTATAGGCCTATTGATCTTCATCATTTTTGCTTGGGTAACCCCTAAATTCTTTTAACATGCCTCCCATATTCTTATGTTATTTTCTAAAAATTTTTATTATTATTTTACACGGATACATAGGATGCAATCTCCAATGCATTGCAAATATCAACATTTTCACTCTTTTAGACATATTCAATAAAATCTAAATACCATAACTATTGGATACCATCATCATCTATTTTAAAAATATGCAAACAAATTACAAATGGGCTCAAGAGTTCTTCTGGGATGATGGAAATGGTCTGAAGTAGAATTGTGGCGATACTGCACAATTGCATACACTTACAAAAATCTGCAATTGTACAATTACAGTGGGGTGAATTTTATGGCATATAAGTTATATATCAAAAAAGCTGTTCAAGGGTGCCTGGTTGGCTCAGTCAGTTAAGCGTCCGACTTGATTTTGCTCAGGTCATGATACTGGGGTCATGAGATTGAGCCCTGCATGGGGCTCTGTGCTCAGTAGGGAGTCTGCTTGAGATTCCCTCGCCCTCTGCCCCCCCCCCCAGTTCACACATGCACATGCATGCACACACACGTGCCCTCTCTCGCTCTCAAATAAATAAATAAAATACTTTTAAATGCATTCTTTTAAAAGATTTTATTTATTTCTTTGAAAGAGAGAGCAAGAGAGCGCACAAGCAGGAGGAGTTGCAGAGGGGGAGGGAGAAGCAGACTCCCCACCGAGCAGGGAGCCCAACGTGGGGCTCAATCCCAGGACCTTGGAATCACGACCTGAGCTGAAGGCAGATGCTTAATCAACTGAGCCACCCAGGTGCCCCTAAATAAAATCTTAAAAAAAAAAAAAAGCTGTCAAAGAAAACAGACAAACAAGTTGGAAATTTTACATTGTTCCTTTTCTTTTTTTGACCTGCTTTTCTATCCTACTTCCCCCATCCTAGTATACTAGAATCCAATCCTAGTATAGTATGTTTTCAGGATTGAAAGTCTTTTGTTAATGATCCCATACTTCTTTGCAACAAATATGTGTATATAAATTTAAATTTAAATATTTTCTGTATTCTATGACATAAGGCTCTAAATATTAAAATGTTTCTTCTATATTGATTATTATTATAAATAGCACAAATTGATCAAAGGCAATATTAATATGCAATAAATTTTATAAATAAACTTGAAAATTAACATTTATTAGACATGCACCATTTGATGAAATAGATGGAACTGTTCCTTTTTTCATTTAGTTGTTTTTTTCCCAACTACTCATTGTCAAATGAGACAAAATTCAAGAATTTTATTCCAATTTTTTGTTTTCATAGATTTAAGCACCAACCAACTTTTTTTTGTATAAATCATAAGATGGAGTGTAAGATATTTATATAAACAGTATGGCTCAGGTTTTCAAATTCCTTCAGAGTTATACATCATAGAGTGACC